CTCTATAAATTCTTCCTATGAAATGTCAGTTTGGGATCGCTTTCCCCAGGGCACAACATCATGGAGGAATCCTCGTCTAACGGGCCATGTTCAGATTGCTTGGGAGGAAGCCGTGTATGATTGGCGGAGAAAAGTGCTGAACCTTTTGGATTTTGCGCGATGTATATCCCCTTTCTTCCTCCATGGACTAATTGAGATTCTTCTGAGGAACTGGAGTTTATGGCTGTACTTGATTGCTGGAGGTATTGGAGGGGCAAAGATCTCTGACTTGTGCATCAGCTGCTCCCCACCCCTCCCAAGCCAAGTATGGGCCACCTCAGTTTTGATAGTCATGCAATCCTTTTGTAGGTGAAATGCATGGCGCATCCCAAAAGTGTGTTTGTAAACTTCAAGTTTTTTCAATGTCCTTTCAACTTGCTACAGATGCGTCTGCTGAATTCTATGGGCATGCAAGAACCACCAAATGTCGACTCAATCGAATTACCGCCTTCAACGATCGAGGAAATGATTGAGGGCTTGGAAGAGATGAACGAAAAACTTGAACATGAACAAGAAGAGAAGACCTTCATCATGGCTGTTGATCCCTCAGGTACGAACAATTTCACTGGAGGATTTTTCCTCCTCAGTAATTTTTCCTCCATAACCTCGAAGTTTTTCTAGACGGTATCGACCCCGACATGTTGGTCGCCCGGTTTCCCGTTTCACTCACTACGATGGTACGAAAAATCGACAGGGTTCGTATCCATTTACTCCCCTATATGAAGCGTCCATTAGACCGTATTTCTAATATTTAGGCGTATTTGCACGTCTATCTTCACATCGACGAACCATTACCTGAACCACAAATTGTAACTGTAATGGTCCGGGAACGGTTACTGAACGGAGATGTAAGTCTACTGCAAACATTTGATTTTAGGGAATATTGACGTCATTGCTTTTGCATTAATCAAGATGATTTATCCCTACGTATACATGAATGTTTTCTGTAATCGGCTAGCAATGATTGCCATTTTTAACATCAATTTTCGAAATTGAATCGAAGCTATGAAGGGGCTGCACGTCAAAACTCCCTAAAAACCCTATTTTAACGTTGTGCACTTTCGGACCTTTGAATGTTCCGGTTTCCGATTTTCGAAGTTTACGAGAGGCTATTCAGGTTGGAAACGTCGTCGCAACGAACCAAGTCGAACTCCAACGAAGCGGTAAAGCTGTGTTGCCGTTGAAAGCCTCCGATGTTGAAAGGTAAAGGATTTTCAGGCAATCTTGTGGTTGGCGCTGAATTTGGAAAACGCGACTCACCTAGAGGATTCCACCTCTGATACACCCCCCCCTTCTCCTCTTATCCACCATCTTCGTAGGTTCCCAAGTTCCTCTCCGTTTTCCAAAAAGTCTATCATCTTCCCAAAAAAATGCCCCTGAGGGAGGTATGTAGCGCGCTTGAAAAAACCGAGATAGTCTTCTTCTCTTCTTCTTATTAGCTTTTTGTCCAAATGTTGTCGGGGTACGCTTCTGTTACCCACCAACCCCCATGCCACGTTGAGGCCGCGGACAGTTTTATGGGGAGATTCGAACCTGCGTCCTACGGAGAGGACTGCGAACCGAGAAGTCAACAATTAAAATTATTTTCCTCAGA